TTGCAGTATCGAGCTTTATATTCAAATATAAGATAGAAGAGATTATAGACTAGTTAAAGCGTAAACAATAAAAACATCAAAATCCTCTCCCTCCGGGATTCGAACCCGGGCTGCCAGCGTGACAGGCTGGTGTATACCCCTATACTAAAGAGATTCAATACACCATTGTCTTGTCTGTTTAAGTATGTATAATTGAAACTGTACTAAGTGGCTGCCTAAAACAGTTAAGTGACTTACCGAATTGTTACTGTACGAAAGCAACGTGCTAAATAATAAAAATTGAAATGTTAATGTTTATAAAACACAGTATAAAGATAAAGGGATAGAAAGACCAAAATAAAAATAGTAAACTGCTCCAACAGTGACTCGAACACTGGGCCTCTTGCTTACTAGGCAAGCGCTCTACCACTGAGCTATAAGAGCCTATGTGTCTCTTGCGAATTAAGATTACTTGGTTAAGATTACTTGGTTATTGCATTTTCTCAAACTTAAATATTGTAAAACGTACGTATCTCTACAAGAAAGTACACTACAAAGAATGTGCACTTAGATTGCGAAGTGTAATTTCAATTAAATGTTGTTAATTACACAGTACATATTAACTATAAACTTCCTAAATTTATATAGATACTAATGATGCAAGGAGGGAGAAGATGCCTCAGTTGGTGGTAGTGGTAGCATCCTCTGTACTGTGTGAGTAGGGGAAGGTCGTGAGTTCGAGCCTCACCAGAGCAGATGCGATCAATCTCGCAGATAGTAGTTGGGTTATTGCGTAATCGTGAGGTCGAGGGAGGTCGAGGGTTCGACGTCCCTGACCGGGTCTTTTAACGTTTCTTCGTCACAAGTATCTGTTTATAGAGTAATGTCAAGGCACACTTCCTGGACTAGCAATTTGTAGTTACACCTCTACAACTTATGACGTGCGCTTGCTAAATTGTACAAACACGCGTTATATGTACACAAAGCACTATAGAGTTGATGAGGCCAGTTGGCCGAGCGGTCTATGGCGCAGCACTCAGTTAACAAGACTTGTCCGTATCGTAAGTTCGAATCCCTCACTGGTCACTCACTGGTCATTATTGGCAGCATGTTTTTGGATTTATCACTTAATAAACTAAGAGCGACACTGGTATAGCTAATCCGTCATGGTCCAGTGCTAGGATTCATCGCTCTCACCGATGCGGCGGGGTTCCCCTGACGGAGGTTTGTTTTACATTTTTTGACTAACTAATAGTATTCCCATTGTGTCTGCTTTCACCAATAATTTCAATTGTGGATAGGCAGTTATAATGAATTCACTAATTAGTATTAACGTAAAGGCAAAAGGCCAGAAAAAACTATTAAGAGTAATTTAAGATGCAATGAGAAACAACGTTACAAAAAGAGAAAGTAAAGAAAAAAAAGAGGAGCGGATAATGAAGTAACGAGAAGAGCGGATAACCAAAAGAAAAACCCTACAGCACCCCGGATCCGCAGTACTAACGAGCCCTCAGACGCCTAGGTATGGCCGTAGACGGAACTGGTGTTTCGCCTAGGTATGGCCGTAGATGTCTTCTTAGTAAATTTAGTATTTATGGTTAAGATATTGCATCTTCAAGGAAAGGTTCGTTTTTGATACATTTCAAACCTACAGCACCCTGGTTTTGTACAGTACTTAATTAGCATCACTAGACAAGATAGATTAGAGAGGAAAATGAGCAAAAGTGAAAAACCTACAGCACCCGGATTCCGCGTTGTCAACCGCAGTACTAACGAAGCCCTCGGGAACTGGTGTTTTCGCCTAGGTATGCCTGGATGTATTGTATATTTTAAAAATTAATATAGTATATGAATAATGGAAATATATTAATTTAAAACAAAAAAGAAAAAACCTACAGCACCCGGATTCCCGCGTTGTCTCCAACCGCAGTACTAACGAGCCCTCAGACGCTTAACTGCAGTGATCGGACGGGAACTGGTGTTTCGCCTAGGTATGGCCGTAGATGTCTGTTTAAAAAGTTATATAGGGTATCATTATAAGTAAATTTAGTATTTATGACTACAACTTAATATCTCGGTGTTGTTGCGTTTGGGCACTAGTGTACGACTAACAAGAGCAAAGGCTCATAATTTCTTCAAAATTGAAAAGAACGAGGTTCACTTTCATTCTGTTCAATATTTTATGTGGGTTATATCTCTATACCACTAGCCATAGTGGTTGTATGGTGTAATGGTTAGCACGTAGGATTTGATTGCTCGCGCTGAGCAGGAAACTTTCCTGAGACCTGGGTTCATTCCCAGTACGACCTGACTTACTTCGCTTACTAATCTTCTTGTACGCTTCTTTTGTCTACGTTTAAGTTAATTTGCTTTACTGCAATTTCATTGTCTTTACTAAAGATAGCTAAGATCCCAATTGAACTATAAGTTTGTAACGTTTGCTGTGACAATCAAAAAACTGAGTACTCTCTCCGTGTAGGTATAGCATGGAACATGATAATGTTTAATGCGACTTTCATTAGTCAACTTTTCAAATTATGCAGGTCAAAGGGCTAGACCAAAAAATGGTCACAGCCGGGCTCGAACCGGCGACATTCGACTCACAGCTAAAGCTATTAGATCGACATGATAACCGACTACATCATGCGACCGCAAGTTAACCAAGAGACCGAATGAACTATATCAGGCATAATCAAATTTATGGAAAGTATTGAAATGGGATTTGTAGTCGTACGTGTCATACGTTGACAAATTGAAGATATAATAGTACGTGAGCATAAGTTATTAAGTAATTATACTAATCATGATCTTTAAGTCATAACAGAAGCGAAACAGGAGTGTTGGAATCTTTGCTTTATCCTGCCATGAACGTACTGAACAAGTAGTTTGTAGGCTGTAACTGACACAGGACACAACACCATCGTAATAGGCTTTGGTGGTTTAGTGGTATAATGATTCGTTGCCATCGAATCGACCCGGGTTCGATTCCCGGCCAAAGCATAAGCTTACATTTTTGTAGTTCAGCGACAGGTTATTCATCTTTTACTCCCATGTCCTAATGAGCAGTGGAAAAAAGAAAAAAGGACCCTCCCATGGCGAGACTCGAACTCGCAACCTTCTGATTGATCTGCGTAAGAGTCAGACGCTCTAAACCGATTGAGCCACACGGGACTTGCTTGGCTGGAGATTTTAACAAACATATATTAAGCACTATATTCTTTTTTTTCTTCTTTTTACTCTTCAGTATATATT